CAAGACACCACCCCCCGCCAGGCGCTCAAAGCCTAGCGAGGAGGGCACCGTGGGCGCCTGCGAGGGCTTCAGGTGCAGCACGTCATGAGGGGACAGGAGCCCGTTAGCCGGGGGACTGAATGGGGGGTCCTGGAGGCTGAGGGACGAGGGCACCGGGAAGGGGCGGCTGCCGAAGGAAGCCGGGTGCTGGTAGGCCGACAGGGCAGAGGAGGACGGAAAGGTGCTGGAACCCGGCAGGGCGCCCGAGATGAAGAGCTCCGTGGGGCCTGGAGTATGCATGGCTGGGGATGACGGAGGAGACCATAGGTCAGGGTGGACCACAAGCCGGCCCCACCCTGGCCCTCGTGAGTTGGCAACGGGCTTACCTGTTTGCCAGGAAGGGCTGCGGAACTGGGAGAGGAGAGAGGAGGCAGAGGGGCCTGGCTGGGGGCCCCGGGACTCCAGGGCCGAGATGAGGTTCATGACGGAGGCGTCGGGCCCTGCTGAGCCTGCGTGGTGGAGGCCAGTGTCAAAGAGTCCAGAGAGGCCTGACCAGGAACAGGGGACAGAGTCAGCTAGGGAGGGGACAGGGCAGGGTCGAAAGGGAAGAGGTCAAAGGCAAGTTGGGTCAGGGAAAGGGACTGGAGGGAAGGAAAGGGGGAGAAAACCGGCAGGGACAAGCTCAGGAGACCCTAAGCAGATGGGGTACAATGCAATCATAAGGGCAGGGAGTCCAAGAAGAGAAAGGTAGGCAAAGGAACAGAAAAAATCCGGAAGTGAAGGAAGGGAGCGCTGAAGGGCAGGGGGTGAGGCCAAAGTATCTGGGCAATTCCAGCAAGGACAAGGAATGGCCTGACGGGAGCCACTGAGTAGAACTAGAGAACAAATCGAAAGGGGTTGAATCGAAGAGAGGGGATCTGGAAAGACAGATATGGGAAGGAAAAAAGGAGGCAACCGGGAAGGTCACGATCAAATTGGACTACACCAGTGATGGCGAACCTACGACACGCGTGTCAGAGGTGACACGCGAACTCATTTTTTGGGGGGTTGATTTTTCTTTGTTATATGGCATTTAAATATATAAAATAAATATCAAAAATATACATCTTTGTTTTACTATGGTTGCAAAGATCCAAAAAATTCTAAACGCGACATGGCACCAGAGTTAAGGTTTTTCAAAAAGCTGACACGCCGAGCTCAAAAGGTTTGCCATCACTGGGCCACACAGTCTCATCGCTGGTCCATCGGGGAAGGAGGGCAGTAGGACCAAAGGGAAGGGGCCAATCAGAAGCCTTAGTCAGTCAGTAGCGGTTCTCAACCGGTGGGTCGCGACCATGGGAAAACCCATATAGCGTATCAGATATTTACATGCCGATTCATAACAGTAGCAACATTACAGTGATGAAGTAGCAACGAAAATAACGTTGTGGTTGGGGGTCACCACAACATGAGGAACGGTATTTAAAGGGTCGCGGCGGTAGGAAGGTTGAGAACCGCTGCGAGGCAGAGCCACTGGGGGAAGAATAAGGTAGGGGCAAATCTAAGGGGGAGAGGGGGCAGTCCAAAGGACCCCTGCCAATCAGGAAGAATAGCAATCAAAAGGAAAAGAGTTCAGAAAACCCAGGAGCCACGAGAGCGGGCAAGGCCAGAAGGAAGCGATTGGCTGGGCTGGAGACAAGGAAAAGCCTGGAAGAGAAGGTGGGATCTGGGGGCTGCGGGGATGGGACCGATCGGAAGGAAAGAGGCGGGGCCAGAAACAGAGGCAGACGAATCCCGGCGTGAAATGAAGCAGCTCCAGGTCAGCCAATCAGAGCAAGGACAGACATGGGCGGGCCAGGAGGCAGGGGCAAGGCCAATTAGGAGGGGCGGAACTTTCACTAGCCAATCAACTGCCTCGGAGGGAGGGGCGGCCTAGTCGGGGCGGGATGGGGGCCCCTCGCCCCCCCGTACCTGCAGGGTGGTGGTTGGTGGCATAGCTTTGCAGTGGGTGGGGGGCCCCGTAGGCCTGGCGGTGTAAGATGTCCGTCTCGGGGTGCGAGGTCCTGGAGCTGCCATAGACCAAGCTGGGGGGGGAAAGGGGGAGATGTTAGGGTATCCTCCTAAGCTGCCCTCAGAGAAGGGACTTGGGAGACAAATCCCTCGGTGAGTTGGGGGAAATCTTCCAGCTGAACTGGGGGGGAGGGGGTATTTTAAGGAACCTTGGGCCCTAAAGGAAAGAAGACAAGGGAATCGGGGTGCCGGGCTAAAGAGCCATAGAAATGGTCCCCACTCGAGCCCCAGCAGCAGTAGAGAGCCCCGAGTCCCAGGAAATAGAGCCCATCTAGTCTCACGTTTACAAACAACAGACATGCACCAGGTTGAGACAAACACTGAGAGGGTGAAGTCAGAGAAAGCGCCTCGAGTTGCAAATGTAGGGGCCACACAAGGGGCCCCCACCCCGCTGGTGACACAAAACCCTGGGGCCGACCCCAGAGCTAGGCACAGACACCCCCTCTCCTGCAGACACGTGGGAACACACAGGCCCTGAACCGCCAGGGGTGGTGGTGCAAAGCCAGTCAGGAGTAGGAGGCAGACTGTTCCCCAAACGGGAGGGATGCGGGATGAGGAGGGGGCAATAAAGTACCAGGTTCAAGTACGACCACGAGCACCGCCCAGCCCCTGGGGTTGAGGTTCAAATGCATGGAACCATGCAAAGCCAAGTATGTGTGCAGAAGAGTATTCAACTCACGGATGGGGGGCGGGGGGAGGATGCAGGGGGAAGAGTCCCACATGGAACACACGTGTGGTCATGCCCAGCCAGGCTGGGCACCCCAGGTGTGTGGGGGAGGGAGGTGGTTCGGGGCAGGTGAAGAGTGAGGGCGCAACACAAATAAACAGTAGGTAAGGGGCAGATGCGAAGGCCCACAGACCGCCGGCGACGCACGCACAGGGTCCACGCTCACACACACCAACACACACAACCGCACACCGGACTCTTCCCATGCGATAATGGCCCCCATCCACGGCCCAGACTCAAAGAGGTCAAATACTCCACTCCTCGCCATCCAACAGGATTCCCTGCCTTTGGGGGTGGGGAGTGAAAGGGGGCGTGTCTCAGACACCAGGAGCCCCCCCTCCTCTTACACACGCGGAACCCCAGCTTAGGAAGGGGGCGGGGCCCCGTGCCCACTCTGCGCGCGGAATTTCGGGGGGGTTGGGGCCCGAGTGGCGCGGCCTCGAGCAGTCCCGGAACAATGGGACCTGGGAGGGGGGCGCGCCCCCCAGATCTACGTTCTAATTCTCCTTTCCTTCCCACCTTTGCAAGAGCGGAGCCTGGGGCGCGGGGGGGAGGGGTCAGCAAGCCGGGAATCCAAGGATGGGGGGAAATCCAGGCCTGGCTCCGCCAGTCCCTCCCAAGGCCTTTCCGTCCGAAATTGTTTTGCAGCCCCATCTTCCCGCTGCAGCTCTCCCTCTGCAAGCCGGAGCTGGCTTTGGCGGAGTTTGCAATTTGCAAACTGGGGCGGCGGCGTTGTTGCAAACCAAGGAAGGCCGCTCCCTTGCAAGCCGGAGGGGAGTTTGCGATGCACGCGTC